CGGAGCTGGACAACGGCCCCGCCTGCAGGGGGCGCCCTGCCTACTCTCCCCCTAGTCCGCCCTCCCCCTCCTCCTCCCCATCCCCCTCACCTGGACCCCGGGGTGCCCCCACCTCCAGCAACTGCCCTGGTCCCAGACCTGCTCCTGCCGATGCCCCTCACTGCCCATCAGGGTCTCTGGGCCCTGCGCTGGAAGCGAGAGGACAGGAAGGGCACAGGGTGAAGTGCAAGGCTCCCCCGAGGCAGTCTGCAGTCTGGGTGAGGGCCCGAGGGTGGCATCTCTGAGCTCCCGCCCTCGCTCACCTACCCTTGCAGCCACCAGCGGCTGGGGCGCCCTTCCACAGATCCTTCGCTGGCGAGGGTAGAGGGGTGTCTGTTTTCAGAACATCAGGATGTCCACCTGTCTGTGAGGTCTGAGGCTGAATTCCAGCTGGTTGGGGGACAATTGTGACAAGTGTCTGTCCCCACCTAGATTTCTGGGGCCACTGATGGGAGGATGTGAGAGACCCCTGCTGCCACCTTCTCTCACCCTGGGCCGCGAGGCCACCGCACCCCACAGCCACAACATTAATACAAGGAAATGATAAAAACAGCTGCCCTGCCAGCCGGGCCCCCAGGTCTGCAGAGAGCCGGCACTCCTTGCTGTCAGGCTCCGGGGCTAACTTTGCAGTTAGGCTTTGGTGTTACTGTGCTGTTGTCCACCATCCACGTGCACCGCGGCTCCCCTGGGAGCTGTCGCCAGATCTGGTTGTAACCTACTGCGAGGACGGAGAAACGGCGTCCCCTCCAGCCTCTTCCTCCACCCGGCCATGCCTTCGTTCCCCTCTTGCCATCGCACCCCTGCCCCTCTCCCTTGGGCTCTGATGAAAATGTATTGACCGGCTTTGGCAGTTCAGATCTGAGAACCATAAACTATTTCAGTGCTAAGAAATAATAATAAAAAATTACAACCTGTTGTCTACTTTAAAACATGGCTCAGGCTTCTTCATTTGGTTTCTAAAGAATTTTTTGTTCTTAAATGTAGTGCTTCTCATATTTTCTATACTTCCCGTTAAAAACAATTCTGCAGACAATACCGGGTCATTTAGAATCGCCCTTGAGAAACCTTTATTGCCTTAGGTCTCTAGCCTCACTCCATCTCTGGAAGGCATCGCCCCTGGTCCCTGGGAATGGAAACCCGTTCGCACGATGACCAAGCGGAGTCATTAATAACCCGTTCCCATTATGCCAAGTGACTTGGCAAACAGCTGAGTTGAGGGAGAATGAGGGGGAAAGGCTAGGTCCTTTTTTTTTTTTTTCTCACCGCATTTCCAAATATCACTATTCTAGTTTTGTAACACATTTTCTAGATGAAGATGACGGTTGCTTTACATTCCCACTTTTTGGAAGTATGCAGTATTGGCAGAAGATGTTGCATCTCTTCAGTGGTTTTGTGCAAATATCTGCTGATATTTAAATACTTAATCGTATGCTAGGGTCCCAGTTTCTGTATTTCGACACCACGCACACACACAGGCTTTAGCACACACTGCAGCCTCGTAGACACATCAGGCCCTTAGTGGCAAGGTTCTCCACCCCCGTAAAAGGTGCTCCCTTACACCAACGTAGAAAGGTCAGTGTGTCGTCCAGCAAATCCTGCTGTGATGGCAGTAATAGAAGTTGCTCTCCATTGAATGTCAGCAGTGTGCCCTGAAGCATGGCTTCACCCAGTCTTCGCCAGGGTCTGGAAGCCAGGCATGAGCACGCACACTTTCCACTGCAAGAAACTCTGGCTCCGAGAGGTTAGGTGACGTTTCCTCATGCCATGAAACACTCAGGGTTCAAACAGGCGTAACTGGTCCAAAGTAGGTCTGAAGCCTACGAGTTTTCAGAGCACGTTAGCCATGAACTCAGACGTTCATAAAATAGCTATTTTATGCGAGTAACAACTGATCCCGAGAGTCATTAATAGATTGCGTTTCCAAAGCGAGCCAGGCGACACTCTGCTTTGCACATAATGTCTTGAGCAACACGACTACCCCGGTTGGTGCTACTGTTGTCTCTATTTTAGAGCCAGGGACCTGAGGTTCAGAAATGTTACGTCATTTTCCCAAGGTCACAGAACGAGTAAATGACAAAGCCAAGATTCAAAAGCAGGTCTTTCTCATTCTAAATCATAAAGCCTTTGTTCCATTATATTTTATGGCTTCCCATTGAATAAGACTTCCTATTGAATGAAATGAGAATACTTATTTTCTTCTACTATTCTGAAGTGAACATTGCACGATCTGTACAGGGAAGGCTATATTAATAAACATGGCTAGTGGGCATGTAAAAAAAGCCATTTGGGGCACCTGACAATTGTCTGTCTTTAAATGACTTGGCGAAATGAGGGAAGTTGCACATTCGGTGTTTTCAAGACGTACCTGGTAGAGGAAGCTTGGACGCGGATGGGTGTATTTGCCACAGGCAGGCATGCAATCTTGATAAGGTTTCATGGAGGTGCATCTGCAGACGTGAATGAATAACCCGAGAGACAGAAAATGAAACCACTGCCATTCGAGTACCTCTCTTCCTATGACTTCTTTGTCCTTTTCGTTGTTAATGTTGCTGATAGGACAAGTTGTTACTGATTAGGAATCTCATGCACGTTTGTCTTGTACTGTAATTATGGTATAATTGATATAATGTGATATAATGCTTTGATTATAATAAAAAAGGAATACAGCCAGCAGCCCATCTAAGGAGTGACACGCCGAGTTACAAACCACCATCGCAGCCCTCATAAAGAAAGGAGATATGGAAGAGTTGCTATTGTCAGCCTCCTTTTTTGGCCAATAGACCCTACTTGTATGCTTTCATGGCCAAGCGATGTTTCTAGAGAGACTGAAAATATATTGTTTATTTTTTTTTAGCGTCATCAAAAATTCCCAATAATTCCAGTGCTGTTTTTGTTTCCCTCGAACAACGTGTGCCTCAGTGAAAAAAATTCCTGATCAGTGATGAGTTTACTTACTAACCTAAGGCGCTGTCCGACCATAGGCTGATGCTGGGTTATGCGTGGCCAAAGGTGTTCACGTGTGTTTTGAAGGCCTTATGTAAACGTCCCATGTAACCGCATGTTTGCCACATTGTCAGGGACTTGCAGACACATTTAGCACCATCTT